CCTCAGTGCTATACTGCACCTGGACATAATCCTCCCTTCCGTGAGGAACTGTCCAATTATTTTACAGGTGGGTTTTGGGTCTTCACTTTATTCACGTCTGGCGAGGGTCTTTGGAGTGTGGCGGCCCGGCTGGCTATGGGACAGGCAGTGCCTCTGGAAGCAGCGGGGAGTGTGGAGCCAGTGACTGGGCTGTGTGGCTTCTGCCCTTCCTGCAGGCGTCCTCACTGCCCCTGTTCCCGGCAGCCTCGTTCTCCGTGTGCTCTCTGACTGCACACACAGTGAGAGAGCCCATACTGGATCCGCACTGGTTTTCTGCTCGGGGTTTTGAGAAAGGACGACTCGAGGGATTCTCTCCCCACCCCACCACACACACACACACACACACACACACACACACACACACACACTACATACTACACACACACACCCTGTACCCTGTCCAGGGCTGATGTGATGGAGGTGATGGAGATGCTGTGGGTGCTGACTATCCCTGGACCTGGGGACTTGTATTCTAGGAGACCGCCCTTGATTGGCTCCCCAGACATCCCAACTGCAGCCCTGATCCTCCCTTTGCCTTTGAGCGGGGCAGGGAGGGGCGGTCCCCTCCATGTATTGGCTGCCCTCAGGGATCCCCTTTTAAAATGGAGCCCAGAAATCATGCCTTCGCCCCTGTGTCCTCAAACTGGGAGGGGCCTCTCCCTTGTCAGTGTGTGCCCCCACCCCACCCTAGGTGGTCCCACACATGCTGTTCAGGCTGACAGCGGTGGGGGTGGGGAGGGCTCCAATGCGCAGCTCCCTGAGTGTTGGACTGTGCCAACCAACCAGCCTCAGGGAGCCTTAGCACCCGCCCCAGCTGCTGTGTGACCTGGTCCTCCGGCCTGAGTCAAAAGGGCTGAGGACAGGGCCAGACAGCGCCCTCAGGCACTGCCTGCTTCTGGTTGGCTGGTGTGAGGGTGGCGGGTGTATGGAAAGGGATAACCTTTTTTTTTTTCAAATCAACTTGACCCTGTTCTTAATCACCATGCTACAGCGGGTTTTTTTTTTTTTAAATCATTTGATTGGGGGCTCGTACAACTCTTATCACAGTCCATACATACATCAATTGTGTTAAGCACATCTGTACATTCGGTGCCCTCATCATTCTCAAAACATTTGCTCTTCATCCAAGCCCCTGGAATCAGCTCATTTTTGCCCCTCTTCCCCCCACCCCACATGAACCCTTGATAATTTAGAAATTATTATTTTGTCATATCTCACACTGTCCGACGTCTCCCGGGATACGGATTTTAGCAGAGGAATTGGTGCAAAGGTGTCTAGGGGGCTGATGACAACACTCGTTCCAGGCGTGGGTCTTTCTCAGGAGCAGCCACTTCCAAGCCTTGGAGCCTTTTCTTCTGCACCCAGCTCCTCTCACCCTCCACCCTGCCTCGCCCCTGAGTAACCAACGCTGCCCTTGCCCGGCTAGTTGGGATTTCCAGTCATTAGACCCTGACCCCCACTGCCCCTACCCCGTGCCAGCCATGCTAGTCCAATTAAAGTAAGCCGGACCAGCTGGAGGGGTGGCCTAGGTGATGAGAAATCAGCCTGCATGTCTGTTCCCAGAGCTGGTTTCCAGTGCCGTGAATTCCTTGGGTGGCATTGCGGCCCCTGTGGGCGCTCTGGTGTCTGAGGCACTGCCCCATCCCCTTCCTCAGTGGCTGTACCATTTTGCAACAGGTAAGAGTTCCAATTTTCCCACCTCCTTATCAGCAATGGCTATTTTCAAAGACATTAAAGACAAAAAAACAAAAGCCATCCTAGTCACCGTGAAGTGGTATCTCAATTTGGTTTGGGGCTACGCCCTTGGCTGCCAAGCCCAAGGTCAGCAGTTGGAAACCACCCGGTGCTCTGCGGGGATAAAGAAGAGGCTTTCTACTCCACGCCCCCCGACAGTCTCAGGAACGCACAGGGCGCGGTTCTACTCAGTGCTACAAGGTGGAGATCAGTCTTGGATTTGTAATGGCTGATTCCTGTGGGCTTCGTCCCATGTGTGCTGTGGCTGCTGAATGCTGACATTGGTGGGATCTGGTGAAGCCTCTCCAAATCCTCTGTCCGTTTCTGGAGTGTGTTCTTTGTGCTTTTGTGAAGCTGTGGGCCTGTCTTTTGTGTGTTACTTATATTGAGGATTGTCTTCTCGGCAGACGCTTGGTTTCTGAAGACATTCTCCTGTCAGCAGTTCGTCTTCTCCCCTCTGGACTATGAGGTCCCACTCCAAGATTTAGTGGCTTTGGAAGGATATTTGGGGATTTAGTTTTCAAAGGAGCCCTTACGGTGGGGTCAGTAAGCATTGGGCTGCTAACCCGAAGGTTTGGGGTTCCACTTCTGGGGAAAGAAGGCAGTCTTTCTGTCAAGGTTTGTAGCCCCTGAAGCCCTGTAGAGCCATGTTGCTGTGTCCTGCATAGGCGTTAGCAGTCTGAATGACTCCACGCAGTGGGTTTGGTGTAGTGGACAATGTATTGTGAAAGGCAGGGGCCAGTGCTATTTTTATTTTTAAATGTGCCCTTCTTCCGAGTCTGTCTTCATCAGGCCACTCCACTGAAACCTGTCTACCCTGAGTGACTTCGCTGGCATGCGACACACAGACCATCACAGTCTGACACACCGACAGATGGGGGGTGGGAGTCCCCGTTCTCAAATTCAAGAGCATTTTGCTCTTCTGTTGAGGTTTGAATACAGAGCCTGGTCTTGGCTGCTCTCTTTACTCTGGGGGCCAAGTAGGGTTTATTGGGCAGAGTGCCTGGAATCATCTGGAAGTCTGGGGTGTGGTTCAAACACTCCTTAACCATCCTGGGGGTGCCAGGACTGCCCACCTAGCTGGCTAGTGACACGGCCATGACTCCAGGGCCAGGGCCTGTGGCTTCCAGAGACCTCCAGGTTTGACAATGAGTCTGTGTTTCTGATCATCACCCCCTCCTCGGCCTGCCCCCAGCTGCTGCCTCCCACTTCCTGCCAGGCCAGGCCTGGACCTCAAGCCTGGCTGTGTGTGGTTCCCAGGTTTGGCACCTGCCACAGGGGCAGGGCCAGTGGGCTAGCGGGCAGCTCTCCGTGTTGGAGTGTGAAGGCTGCAGTGGGCATAGTCCTCCATGTGCCCACGACCATGGGGTGGCGAGAGAAGGGGGCACTGCTGTTGGTTTGGCTGATTCTTCTGGCTGTTCCTCTGCAGGGCAGAACCAGAGACGGCTGCCCCCCACTCCCCGGTGGAGTCATTGCGCTGGGTCAGGTGTTGTCACACCCAGACCCCGCCTTCTGAGCTGGAGATGGTCAGGGTAAGACTTGTGTAATCAGGGCAAAGGTCTGGGTCCTCCGTTGTGAACCCTGGGGGAACCCGGGGAAGTGTCGGCTTTCTTCCTGGAGGCCCTGTCAATAAGCATGGCTTGCACCAGGGAGCTGGGGGGCACAGCACAGCCAAGCCATCCATGCCCCTCAGGGAAGACGCTTGCCCTAGGTTGGGGGCAGCTCACCATGGTGGGCTGGGCATGCAGCTCTGGGCTCACAGGTGGCAGGCTGGCTGGTGGCAGTGGTGCCCCAAGACCCAGCTGGTGTGTGAGGATGAGGTAGAGTCTGGGGCAGGCCTGGCCCCTGGTGTGATCCTGGCCTGGCTTCTCTCTATCTGATGACACAGGGCCCTCACCTCTCCCTTTCTGAACTAGGTCCTTGGTGCCTTCATGATGGGCGTTTTCCAGGGAGGACTTTGGGAGCAAACCACTGGCACCCCCCACCCACCCCTGGGCCCACCCCACCTGGCCCACCCACTGTGCCCATGGTCACATGCGCTGGGCCCACTAACATGCTGGGCATTGCACTGCCAACCAGGATATACGAGTCCAAATCTTCCTGGCTACTGCTGCCCTACACACACACACACACACACACACACACACACACACACACACACACGAACAGTGCCTCCAGCCTCCCAAGGACTCCTTATCCTGGCTGGGAGGGAGGCACAGACCAACCATGCTTGATCTCTGCAGTATGCGAGCCTCCCCCAAAGCCACAGGGTCTTCCTTCAGGACAGGTTTCAGGAGCACCTGCGTGTTTCAGACCTGGGTACCTGTGGTTGGGCTCCGTCCAGTCATCCGGTCCAGCCAGAGTGCTCCCCAGCCTCAGGGAATGCCTTCTCCCTGGCTAGGATGTGCGTTGTCTCCCCAACCCCAAATGTGTTGAATCTGGTCTGCAAGGAGGGTTTTCTTCAGCTACGTTCATGAGACCATCCCAGAGCAGGGTGGTCCTAAACCCAATCACTTAAAAAAACAACAACGAAAAAACGTTTTATTGGGAATGAGGTGAAGGTTTACAGAGCGGATCCTAGTTTTACACTAGACAATTTATACGCATTCTGACTCCATTCACCTGCCGCCACTCCCTCTGTATACGGCAGCTTAGCCTGCCCCTTCCCTGGCTATCCTGTTTCCATTCCACCACCTTTCCTGACCCTCCGACCTCTGCTGGGGTAAATGCTGCCGTTCGGTTCTCAGATGTTTGCTTATTGTAACGTGGGGGCAAGTTCAATTCCAGACCTGCAGGGTGACTCTGAGCCACAATCTGGGGTGCGCACCAGCCTCTCTCTGACCAGGAAGTGATCTGGAACTTTCCTTGGTGGCTGAGTTAGTGCTCCGGTCTTCTTCCAAGCTCTCCATCCTGCTCAGTCACAGAGCCCAGGACTGCGTGGTCCATGGTGTGAGGGATTCCAGGGTCTTTGTCTCACCTCTGCACACACCTGACCTTCCCTCTTGGCAGCGTGGTGCCCTCACGGGGGTGGGGAGGGTGTGCCTAGCTTCTCTCCTTAGCACCTTGTTCCTCCGTGTTCATGGCACCTGGTGGAGTCTTGCTGAGGTCTGACAGCCAATGTGGGCTGGGCGGGGGCTTGGCCCTGTGGCCCAGGCAGCAGCCCCTCGGTGGCAGGTGAGGGCAGGCACCTGTGGGCGTGAACTGGTCCCCACCGTCCCTTTGCAGGAATGAACGCAGCCGTCAGAGCCGTGACCCGTATGGGCATCTATGTCGGAGCCAAGGTCTTCCTTATCTGTGAGGTAAGGTTCCCTGGGGTCTGGGCCAGTGGGGTCTGGGGAGGGACCCAAACCTGTTGGGGCAGGGGCTGGGTAGTCTGGGTGGCCTGGTCCCCAGTTGTCCAGTGTGTCATCAGCCCCCCAGGGGTGGGAAGGGGTGTTATCAGCCCAGCCAAGGTCTCTGCTGCCCCAAGCCTCCTCTCCCAAGGCCTTGGGTCAGACGGTCAGGAGTCTCACGGTGCTTCCTGGCTGCAGTCCTAAAGGCCCAGCCAGGCAGTGCTTGTCCGGTTATCCCGGGCCGCCCGCCATGCTGCTGCCCTCTGGTTTCAGGGCTATGAGGGCCTTGTGGAAGGAGGCGAGCACATCAAGCAGGCCAACTGGCTCAGTGTCTCCAACATCATCCAGCTGGTGAGTCTGCCGTGTGGCGTGGCCACGGCCCCTCCTGCCCCGTGGCCACTCACGCTGTCCATGGTGTGTGGTCCGGGTGGGCCCGGGACCTCGGCTGCAGTCTCACTCAGTTCCCAGCTACAGAACGGGCGTGTGAGTGTGTGTGTGTGTATGTGTGAATCTGAGTGTGTCTGGCATGTGAGTTTATCTCAGTGAGTGTGTGTGTGAGGCTGGCTTGTCCAGAGGAACAAAGCCAGTGACGCACGTCTGTGGATGTGAAGGAAAGAGCTCTGTCGAAGTGACCATCTCACATCACGAAGGTATCCCACCCAGTCCAACGCAAGGCCATGGTCCGGGCTAGCCGGGCCTCCTCAGACTCGTCCCTGCAGGCCGATGGCGCAGAATGGGGGAGCGGGGTGCGGGAAGGAAGATCCTAGGCTGGCGGGTACAGGGCCGCGTGGCAGGGGCGCTGACAGCTCTCAGGGTCTGGTGACCCCTTTGGGGCCACCCCTGGAGGCAGGCACAGAGACCCAGCAGGCGGGAAGGTGGAGGGCAGAGAGGGAGGGAGACGTTCCACGCTCACGCACCACCAGGCAGTGACCTATTGACAGGTTGAACTCGGCCCCTAGCCAGGAGTGTCTGATTGATAGAGCGTCTAACTACCACGGCGAGCGCGTTTCTATGGGTGCGTGACCGTGTGCTAGTGGGCGTGTATGACTGTGACTGGGGCCGGGGCCCTGGAGGCCTTGTGGTTACGCCTTGGGCTGTGGTCCGAAAGTCCCACAGTTCGGGACCACCAGCGGCTCCACGGGAGAAAGATGGGCTTTCTACTCCCAGACACGGGCACAGTCACCGTGGGTTGGCATAAACGCGATGGAAGTGTGTGTCGATGCCCTTCTGCGACTGGGTGTGTGTGTCTGTTTAATTGTGTCAGTGTGAGTATGTGTCCCTGTGGGTGTGCATGTGTGTGTGTCCCTCAGCGACTATGTCTGTGAGTGTGACTACGTGGGTCAGTGTGAGTGTGTCGCTCTAAGTGTGTCAGAGTGCATGTGCCCCTGTGTGCTTGTGTCCCTCAGTGACTGTATGTGTCTAAGTGTGTCAGAGTGTGAGTGTGTCTCCCTGTGTGTGTGGGGGTGTGTGTGATAGTGTATTTGTGTCCCTCAGTGACTGTGTGTGTCTGAGTGTGTCTATGTGTGTTGGAGTGTGTCTCTCTAAGTGTGTCAGAGTGCATGTGTGCTGTGTGCGGCACTTTGTATTTGCCCAACCCTTCTCCCTCCCTCCCTTCCCTCTGCCCCTCAGCAGCCTGAGAGGTGGGCACTCCCCCGCTCCTTGTGGGGGTGGAGACAGCCCTGGGCTTTTCCTCTATTCTGCAGGGTCTGCCCAGCCTCCTTGCCTGCTTGGGGGCCTCCCCACCCTTTGCCACCTGCTCCCATGAACTGTCCCCATGCAGGGCGGCACAGTCATTGGCAGTGCACGGTGCAAGGCCTTCACCACTCGGGAGGGCCGCCGGGCCGCAGCCTACAACCTGGTGCAGCGTGGCATCACCAACTTGTGCGTCATCGGTGGGGACGGCAGCCTCACCGGCGCCAACATCTTCCGCAGCGAGTGGGGCAGCCTGCTGGCCGAACTGGTGAAGGAAGGTGGGTTTGTGAGTTAGCACGGCCCTGGCCCCTGACTGGTGGCTTTTGATCCTCCACCTTGAGCTGGCGTCCACTCCTGGGCCCCTGTCTGCCGCTCTGGCTTCGGAAACACTCAGGCCACCACTGCATGTCTGGGTTTGTGTAACTCCTGTTACAATACTTCGTTGTTTGCCAGAAAGACGTCTGCCGAGTGATCCTGTCGGGTGTGGAGTGAACACCGGGAAAGAACCGAGGTTGTAAAAATGTAGCAAAGCTACTCCAATGACACACTGTTAAATTAAAAACCAGACCACCTGGGAAGATGTATAGTGAGCGCGACCTGGGGAGACGAGAATCACCTATGCCTCACCGGGTCCTCCAAAGCAGAGGAAGATTAACCCGGGCGAGGATGTGCCTCAGTGTCCTTTCCAGGGGGATGTGACATAGGTCACATCCGCTCATCCTGCATCAGAGACCCCCGACTGCCTGACTCTGAGGGCTGAGGACCCAGGGGACAGAGTACTAGGGCATCTGGGCCAGTCTCACAAAGTACTGCCAGGGGTGGCTGCCAGCAGACACTGCCTGTCCCAGCTCTGCAGGCCGTGGCTCCAAATTCAGAGTCTTGACGGGCTGCACTCTCTCCAAGTCTCTAGGACAAGAGCTCGGTGGGGTGGGGAGGAGGTAAGGGGCGGCTCTCAGAATTTTGGTAGCCACGGGTGGTCCTTGGCTTGTGGATGCATCTTCATGTGGCTGTCCTTCCTGTGTGTGACTGTCCCCATCTATTTGATAAGGACCCCATTCGTGGGGGGTTGGGTCCCACCATGCTCCTGCATGACTTCATGTTAACCTAACATTCTCAAAGTTCCCGGTTCCCAACAAGCCCACTGTCACAGGTACAGGGAGGAGGAGCTCAACATGTCTTTGTGGGGGACACATTCAACCCACATTGGCCCCCTACGCTGATGCTGACAAGGCTTATTTATAATGACTCTGTAGAGCATTTTGCAGAAGTTAGAAAGTGACCTCTTGGGCATCTGCAGACCCCCTCAGGACACCCTCCCCTGTGTAGGGCACACGGCATGGCTCCCCTGGGGTTGTCCTCTCAGGGTGACTGGTCCCATCTGCCCTGGGGGAGGAGGAGGCTGAGCCTGGGGCTCCGGACACCTGCTGGGCTACCCGCCGGGTGGGCTGTGGTTGAGGACCCTGTGCTGTCCGTGTGGGGCCTCTCTGCTCCCTCCACGTGGTGGCTGCAGGGGCTGGGCCTCAGCCGGCCTGTGCCCCTCTTGCCCAGGTAAGATCTCCGAGAACACAGCACAGACCTACTCCCACCTCAACATTGCCGGGCTGGTGGGCTCTATCGACAATGACTTCTGTGGCACTGACATGACCATCGGCACCGACTCGGCCCTGCACCGCATCATGGAGGTCATCGACGCCATCACCACCACCGCCCAGAGGTCAGCGAGGCCACAGCCCCCTACCGCCTGAGCAACGGAGCTGGCTGGCTGGGGCTGGCAGCACTGTCCTGTCATCCAGTCTAGTTGGATGGATGGCTGTAGGGGGAAGGAAGGGCTTGCGCTCTGTCCTCCTTGGGGCCTTGGTCGTATGGCTCGCCTATCTCTGGTGGTGCTGTGGGCCCACAGGGGACCTCCGGTTTACTGACCGGGTTGACCAGACCCAGACCAGGGTGGGCGACGGGCTTTCCACCACCGGCACAGAAGCTCAGTTCCCATTGGCCTTAAGGATAGTCAGGGACTGAGGTGTATTTTAGCCCCGAGAAAAGCCCCTCTGTAGGGGATGGGGTGTCTGTCCCAAGCCTGTACCCCATGCCAGCTGGAGTGTCACTCAGCCCCCACTCTGCTCTACCTTAACAGCCACCAGAGGACGTTCGTGCTAGAGGTGATGGGACGTCACTGCGGGTAAGGGGGACGCCCTGGTCATTGAGGACAGAGGGGTGAGGGGGGGTGTCCTGCTCAGCTCAAGGGCAGGGGGGGTCGGGACAGCATCCAGGAACGGCAGCAGGCGCTGGCTATGCCGTGGGCCTGTTGTCCTGCCCACTGCTCTGTCCTGCCCGCACTGTTTGCAGGCAGCAGGCGCTCCCCTACTTATGCAGAGGAGGGGTGAGGAACCTTGGGGGCCAGAGTTCTGGGGTGCAGGGCCCTGTGTCTGGGGCAGAGTGTAGGCAAAAGGACTAAGGGGCAGCTCATAGGCGCCTGCTTTGCAGGGGGGGGACCCCAGTGCCAGAGTCTGGGTCCCGGTGCTGGTCCAGGCCTCGAGGCCCTGCCTTCGTTGGGGCAGCCTCTGGGCCAGGTGGCTGTGTGGCGGCTCAGCCTCTCTCTGCCCCAGGTACCTGGCCCTGGTGTCTGCACTGGCTTCCGGGGCTGACTGGCTGTTCATCCCGGAGGCCCCCCCGGAGGACGGCTGGGAGAACTTCATGTGCGAGCGCCTGGGTGTGGTGAGTGCCCTCGGGCTGCCCCCGCAGTCTGCCCACCACGGGGGTGGCTTGGCTGCTCACAGGCTCACTCAAGGGCCCCGCCTTGTGCTGCCCCAGGGTGGGGGAGGAAGCAGAGAGCAGCGAGGCCCGTGACCTGGGCACCTCCAGCAGCATGGCTCCCACTGAGCTGAGGGGGTGGAGGTGGCAGAGTACAGATGAGTGGACAGGGAAGTGGCTGGTGGTCCCAACTCCGGAGGGCAGATGGGACAGCCAGTGTTGAGCTTGGCCCCACCTACGGAGAGGTTAAATGGTTAAGGCACACAGCAGCTCTGGCAGGTGGTCCAGGGCATAACACCCTTGGCGACGAGGGCTGGGCCCTGTGGACAGGTGTTGACGGGCCTCTCTAGCCTGAGGGCTGGACGAAGTGTCCGTCTCAGTTAGGTCTTCCATTGGGGACATGGTGACAGGCAGGTGACAGGTCAGGAAGAGCAGAAGGGGAGTTTGGCAGAGCTGCTGTGGGGACGTCGGGCCAAAAGGTTCTGCCAGTGCAAAGGCCCTGGGGCAGTGAGTGTGGGTACATAGAGGCCGGGGTCACACCCCACAGGGCCAGGAGGTAGGCTGGCTGTTAAAGGGCATGCTGGGGTCGCTTCAGGACAGCAGGAGAGGCTATCTCTGCTCCCTCCCACAAGATCCCTCTGACAGTTGTGTGTGTGTTTTCTGAAGTCCCAGGGTCAGAGCCTGGGGCCCCTCAGTCTTCTGAGTGGAGAGTACAGACCCCACCCAGGAGGAGCCTGGGCCCGTGGGCTGGTTCTCTGCCTGACGCAGCCTCCCTGTGACTGTAGCTCTGCCTAGTCCCTGGGCAGGATCATGGCCCAGCCCTGGAACCTTCCAGGACAGTGAAGGGGCAGGGTGGAGACAGAGCCCAGTGGGTGAGGCCCACCACAGGCTCTTCTCCCTTGGCCACTATCTGGGTGGGGCCCAGTCACAGCGGCCGAGAGGGTGTGGTCTTCCCTGTTGGGTTGGGTTCTGGTGGTCAGGGTCCCCCTGAGTAACTGAGACCGTCTCGGACGCTGCCCTTGGCGTCCTCTCTGTGGAAATTGGACGGGGCCTTCCAGGCACAGAGGGCCTTCTGCAGGGCCTGGACCTGGGCCAGAGCCCTGGGCTGTGCCCAGCGCTGTGTAGGGCACCCAGACCAGGACTCTGCTGGGGATGGGGGCCTGGGGGTAGGCGCCACGGTGGAGCATCTGTCGGCATGATGGGGGCAGGGGGCTGAGCCCTGGGCTTTGTCTTTGGTGCAGACGCGGAGCCGAGGGTCCCGGCTGAACATCATCATCATCGCCGAGGGCGCCATGGACCGCCACGGGAAGCCCATCACGTCCAAATATGTGAAGGATGTGAGCGCGCTGGGCGGGGCGAAGGGCGGGCGCACGTGGTGCGGGGAGGGGCCCGGGGCTTGGGGCTGGAGGTGGCGCTTTTGGCCCCCACCTGCTCCGACTCTGATGCCTGCACGCCATGGAGAGGTGCTTTGTTAGGGCAGATTCAGAGGTCAGCTCTGCAGCGGGGCTGGGACACAGCACCGTGTGCCCTCCCCTTAATAAATCAGCACGTCCTGGAGTGGGCTCCCTGGTCCTGTGAGGACCCTCCCTCAAGACACGCCCCTCCCCTGCCCAAAGTGGCCAAACCGACCTCTGGGTCCAGCCTGACTCCCTCTCCCTTTGGCCACCCAGCCCTGAGTCTGTCCCCAGCCTGGAGCCTCCTCCTTGTGTCTTTCTATCTGGGCTGTCACCCGAGAGCCACGGCCCGGTGGCACCTGACCCCACGTTCACAGCCTATGGGCACGGGCCTCAGGCCAGCTCAGGGAAGACCTTCAGTCCTGGTGGTGGGTCGGGCTGCGGGGGCCAGTTCGAGGCCCAGGAGCGCTGACCCTCCTTCCCTGTGAGCAGCTGGTGGTCCAGCGACTGGGCTTTGACACCCGCGTGACGGTGCTGGGCCACGTGCAGAGGGGAGGAACCCCTTCGGCGTTTGACCGTGTTTTGGTAGGTGGGCTGTTCCAGGCCTGGGGGCGGGGGGCATGTGTGGCTGGGGTTGGGGGCCGAATTCCTGGGGTCCATCCACCCTCTTCTCTCAGAGCAGCAAGATGGGCATGGAAGCAGTGATGGCCCTGCTGGAAGCCACGCCCGACACGCCGGCCTGCGTGGTCAGCCTCTCTGGGAACCAATCCGTGCGCCTGCCCCTCATGGAGTGTGTGCAGATGGTGAGCACTGGGTCCCCACCACTCCACCACCCCACCCCTGCCCCGCCCCCACCATTCTGCCTGCCCTGCCCTCTGTCCCACCCACCACTCCCTCTTACTCTCTGCCTATGTTGGCGCTGGCTTGCTGTCAGACCAATAATCCTTCCAGGGCCAACAGGGCCCACCTTCCTGTGACTGGGTGGGTGGCTTCTTCCTGGCGTCCCTTTCCAGGACGCTGGCGTTCAGCAGTGTGAGTCCCTGTGGGAGGGTGGACACTAAGCCTCTGGCTTGTATTGTGGCTGTGGGTGTCTGATGCCTCCTGCCCCACTCTGTGCCCTGCAGGACCAAGGCTTACCTGCTGGGTGCTTCCAGGGCTATGTGCCTCAGGGCCCTGTCAGTTGGTCGGAGGGTGGGGCATAGGGCAAGCCCTTAGAGAGGCACTGGAGTTGCAAGGAGCCAGGGGACAGCTGGGGGGTGGGGTGTTACCAGGGGGAACCCAGGGTGACCTGAGAGGTACCTGAGGTCCCTGGCAAGCCAAGGTGCTGTGAGGCACTGTGGGGTTCCAGGGGGCCTGGAGGAAGCCAAGGGGTGCTGGGTGAGCTTAGAGGTGCTGTAGGGTAACAGGGGTGCTGAGGGAGAGCCAACAAGTCCTACTCAGAAGGCCACCCTCCTGAGAACTGGGGTGTGCCCTGGCCAGCGGGCCTGGGGCTACCCTCCTGGGCAGTGGTGGCAGTGAGTGCCAGGCGTGGCCCCAGCGGTCTGCTCTTTCTCTGCTCTAAGACCAAGGAGGTGCAGAAGGCCATGGACGAGAAGCGCTTCGACGAGGCCATCCAGCTCCGGGGCAGGTGAGGCCCTGGGGGAGGCCTAGGGGCCTGGCTGTGGTCTGTAGGCTCCCCCTGAAGCTCTCCCCAGAGTTCTGCTGTGCAGCCAAGCTTGGAGGGGGCCCAGGAGACAGAGTGGGGGAGCTGCTCCTCATGGGAGGGAGAGGCAGGGACAGAGCAAGGGGCCGGAAGGGGCTGGCTACACCACAGAAGGGCCTGGGTGGACCAGGGAGGTGTTGTGGGCTTGTATGCCCTGGGGGTCTTATACCTTCCACCTGAGACAAGAGTGGGACTCCATTGTGTCCAGCTCCTTCATGGTGGGCTGTGTGGGTCTTGGGCCACATGACCAGAGGCAGCGTGACTGGTTTCTTCAGAGACCGAGGTGCAGGCCCAGTGACCTTACTGCCTTGTATTATCCAGCCTTGTGCTACGTTGCTGCCTGCGCTGCATGGCCCGCTCAGCTCTAGACTGTGTACCATGGGACTGTGCTAGTGTCAGCTGAGGGCTGTGTACCATGGGACTGTGCTAGTGTCAGCTG